CTAATTCTACTCTGTTGATTTAAAAGCGTCATGTGCCGAGAACATAGCCACCCAAGCAGGTAACATGCCTATAGGCAATACAGAAGGGGTCCAAGCCAAGTGAGTCTGTAGAAACCAAAATTCAGTTAATGTTACTGTCAAGTGAGGAGACAACAGGAAAGATTTCATTGTTCTCTCGAACCCTTACAGTAATTTCCTAAAGCTAAGCCATTCTGATCACCTGAAATAAGCTAGTATTGCCAAATACTGTACAATCAAATAGGCTGACCATGATCAAACCCCAATTTTTCCTGAGCCTTGACTGCCTCTGTCATCTGGAACACAGTCGGCAGCATGGAAGTAATTATTACTTTTTTGGGGGGTGGGGAGGGAACTGGGGATCAACAACTGCCTAACTATACGTGTAAGTAAACAAGAGAGATCAAACTGACCAATTAAATTAGCTGTTCAGAATCTCTCTTACCAAAAAGTCGTAACCTTGAGACTGATTAAGCAAAACAGGATTCCGCTACTCAGATGCTCCGAGTCTGGGAAGCGCTGGTTTTAATGATAATTCTCATGATAATTCAGTTTTTATTTCGATCTTCTGCCTAAGACTACTCTGCCCAGCACGAAAATGCTTCACGCAAACGTGTACGGCGTTTCAGAGTGGTACCTTCCGAGCTGCGTCTCCCCATCCTCTCAGTTGTCCACTTCCTCCTCTTCATTCTGTTCTTCTTCCTCCAGCCTTTCCTCATCTTCATCGTTGTCCTCATCCCTGCTCTTGTCTTGCTCTTCTGAATCTGTTTTTTTGTCTTTGTCTTTCTTCTTTTGCTCTGAAGCTTCCTTCTTGCCTTTCTGCTCCCTCCTGTAAGCTGTAAGGATGAACGGGAGGGAGTTAGGAGGCAAGGCTGAACCAGACTGCAGCAGCCAACTCCACTGCATAATTGGAAAAGCTGAGGCACAGAAGGAAAAATAACCCGCCCAGCACCACAAACAGTTATGCGGTGGTGCCTGCCATCGGAGTCGCATCCAATACTTGCTTACCAGACTTAAAGGCACCCCAGCTGATAAAGACTTAGGGCCAGGTGAGCAGATCATACAGGATGAACATCTACTTGGATGAGAAAACGAAAGGGTAGTTACCTTCCAGAGCTTCTTTTAACGGGGTCACGAACCGCTGAAACTCCATCTCCTCCATGGCGGAGAGCACATCGCTGGCATTCAGTGTCTTGCGTTTCCCTTTCATCGCGAAGTTGTTGGCACTGAAAGAAGAAAGATTAAGGGCTGTCAGATGCCCTCTTGCCACGTACGGAGTGGGTGGGAAAAGGAGCACCCAGAAGTGGCACGAGAAAGCCTGCATGCACGGATTTTTGTGACACGGTAAGTCCCTCCCTTACCTGTACAAAAGGGTTAAAGCAAAGTTACTGTTTTCTTATTTTGTTTCAGAGATTGCAAGACCTGAACGAGGGCTCTGAACCTCCCTCCACTGAGGTAGAACATAATTCCTGGGGTTTGCGGGCTCCAGGCCACGAACTCCGAACCAGTGTGTGTGTGTGGGGGGTCTCTTTACGCCTTATGCCCAGCTAAGCTCTGGCTAGCTCTGTCCGCCTCACCAGGATGTGGCGTACAGCACGAAGACGCTGGCGGCGCGGGAGATGGCGCTCCGGGCCTCCTTGGAGATGCTGACACCGTCCGGGAGCTGTGAGAAAAGCGCGGGTGAGCAAAGCTACCGGCCCAGGACCTGTTTTCCCCTGCCCGCTCGTCCGCCCCTGGCCCGTCCGCCAGCCGGAGCTGCTCACCGCCTCCTTGATGATCCTGGTGATGACGGCATTGGGGAGGTTTAGGTCCTCGGGCCTCTCCGCCATTGCCGCGGCCGGGGCCCAGGCCTCGGACCTCCTCTTCAGGCAGCTACAGCGACCGGACTTCCCGCGTCGCCACGGTCTGACCCAACGAGGCTTCCGTCGCGCCCCGCGTTGCCCACACAGTGTCCCACAGTGCCCCGCGCGCCATAACCTTCCTCCTCCTCCAGCCCAGCTTCCGCCTCCAGTGGCTGGTGCTTCCGAGCTTTGCACGCTGCCATGGTTTTGGCTCGCGGGGTTTCCGTCCGGCCTCACCGGCACCTGGCGTCCCTTCCCAGGCACGTTTCTCTGCTTCACGCCACCACCATATCTGGAACTTGCTTAGCAAATGAAGTATGGCTCACTGGGCTTTCCGTCCCTTTCCCATAGTGCTCTGCGCGGCTGCCTGGCGACGTCGCAGCCTGGTGGCTAGCGTGGGAAACGGAGGCGTGGACTGAGCTGGTGGGGCGGGGCTCCTCCTGATGAGAGGCTGGGCCCATCGTTCACTTCACCGCGGGTCGAAGAGTGGCGTTTTTCTGTGGGCTTAGGCTGCTTGGCTTCTGCTTTGGTTTCGCGGAAGCGCGGCCCTCCGAGGCCGCATTCTCCCACTTCCCTTTTCCGGAACGAAGCGGGAAATCTTTTTTCAGTTCTGCCGGCGCAAATGGCCACCTCTAATGTTTTTAGCCCTCTCGACTTTGTAGTAATGGTATTAAGAAAAACTATTACCTAAATGTTTTTTTTAACGCACACTACTTTGTCAGCACCGTGCTAGGGCTGGCGACGTAGAGATGGGCATGACTAGACCTCGGGGCTCAATTTGGGCTGGTCAGGTAACAAAAGGGCAACACGCAGCCGGTTGTAAGAATAATGTAATATTATATTCGCATTCAAAACCAGACCCTCTTACAATTGTATCTGCATTTTAGTTCATCGAATTGTTTATCGTGCATCTTTCCTAGTAAAAAATCATTTCCATGGCTTTGCAGTGGCTTTTTAAAAAAAATTATTGTTTTTGGCTGCGTTGGGTCTCATTGCTGCACGCGGGCTTTCTCTAGTTGTGGTTCTCTTGTTGCGGAGCACGAGTGTGGGCTCTAGTGTGGGCGTCAGTAGTTGTGGCTCATGGGCTCTAGAGCACAGGCTCAGTAGTTGTGGCGCACAGGCTTAGTTGCTCTGCAGCATGTGAGACCTTCCCTGACCAGGGCTCGAACCCGTGTCCCCTCTATTGGCAGGCGGATTCTTAACCACTGCACCACCAGGGAAGTCCCTGCAGTGGCTTTTTGAGTTCTACCATTTTCCTATTACATTTGTAGCAATTGTCCTCACTCCCGCAAAGCAGAAACGCTTTTTTTTCTTGAAACCTGCTGTCTCAGGTCACCCATAGTTTTCCTGTTTTTGACAGTGACATGAACACGGAGAAATATTTCCCTATTATAAAAAAAAACAACAGCAAATGAGATGATAAGTGGCAACTGAAACTGCTTCAGTTAGAGATTATAGAGTTTGGTGGGAGAACTGTCCACTTGGCTAGAATACACCTGGTTTAAAGATGTCAGGAAATGCTCAGCTCCAACCAGTTGCTATCTAGTTGGAATTGGGCCCCTGTGTTGTTAGATATTTTAATTTTTAAGAGGAGCCAGCAATCTGGACAGTATGGACTATTTTCATCTTTGCGTAATGGCTCAAAGTGCAGGCCAAACAAAACAAATCATAGGCCAGGTGCAATCCCAGGCCAATAGTTTGCTATCTTTGGTTTAATTTATAAGCACTTTAGAACAGGAACTTATTTCGTTCTTTATTGTTCTCTATGCCCATAACAGCCCCCCTCACATATTTGGTAGTCAATAAATGTGTTGAGTAAAAGAAAAAAGAAATGGACACTGTCCTTAAAAAGTTATTAGGGATCAGGTGGTAGTGGTTGCCTAAAACATTTCTAGAGAGAGAAAGATAACATTTATTGAGCACCTGTTGTATATCATACATAAAAGTACATTATCTTATTTAATGCTTCTATGATGCTACTTAGGGATTTCCCCTTCCCTACTTTATATGAGGAAACAGGCTGAGGGAGGTGAAGTAACTTGCCCAAGAGCATACAGCCAGTAAATGAAAAGCCAGTGGCTTCTGATGCAACTGTGGGTCGACTGATTTGCTGTTTGAGCAAACTCATTCATTTCTGGTGGGTATTTTAGCCGCCTGAGTGAGAACTGGAGCATACTGAAAATTGAAGCATCTCTTCCAAAAGTTTGAGCCATCTAAAGCACTTCTGTGACTCAGCCGTTGCTCAGTATCCACAGAGGACTGGTTCCAGGAGCCCCTGTGTATAACAAAATCTGAGGATACTCAAGTGCTATGTACATTACTTATAATTTGATAAGGCTTTTTGGAGATGGTGGCATCTTCTCCCTAATGATTAATGAAGGGGAAAAGGAAGGGATGCTAATATTTATTTTGAACTATATGCCAGAACATTTTTCCTCTCTCTTTTTTTTTTTTTTGTCTGAAAGCTTCTTTATTTCACCTTCATGTTGTCTTACTGGCCACTGTCCCTCTACTCCCTTCAGATGGTTCTTTCCCTGGACTAGGATAGTTTCTTCCCATACATGTGCTCTCAGTATTCTGCTGAATGGGCCTCTCACTGTTGTGGCCTCTCCCGTTGCGGAACACGGGCTCCGGACGCGCAGGCTCAGCGGCCATGGCTCACGGGCCCAGCCGTTCCGCGGCAGGTGGGATCTTCCCGGACCGGGGCACGAACCCGTGTCCCCTGCATCGGCAGGCCGACTGCCAACCACTGCGCCACCAGGGAAGCCCTATGCCAGAACTTTTAATGTCCATTAATTAATTGTTGTGGTGATCCTGTGAAATAGACTTATCCTCATTTTGCAGCTGAGGAGACTGAAGCTCAGATTGGTTAAATCTCAGGTCACTCAGTTATTAATTTAAATGGTCAGTTAGGAGACCTTCTGGAGTCAGTCTGAACCCAAACTCTTGTGCACTCTACTCCATGCTGAGATTATTTCATACTTGCTTGTTACGCAATTCCTAATTATCCTGTGACCACCACTTATCTATATGGTTCAACAGAAATATTTCACGCTTAGAGTGCAAATTAATATCTGGACTGCATGGCTAATGTATAGTATTCCCTAATTATGTGGTGATTGTTTTTCCAGAGGGCTAGAAAGCTGCAAGATTGGCTTTTGTCCCAAACCATTTGTAGCTATGGACTTGCCAGATAAAAGCCAGTGGGATGAAACTACCTGTGACCTGGCTGTTTGTCAGCATCCACAATGCTGGGCAACTCTCCGCCAAATTGAGAGGGGCCACCCTCGAATTCTGGACTCCTCCCGCAAATCTCCTCTGGATGCTGAAGGTGAATTAGCCAGCCCTGTCTCCTTCCATACAAGATCCTTGAATTGTTTCTGTTTGGCTCCCTTTTGACATGTTACATGTTTTCCTCTGGTCTGGTCTTTCAGACAGGCTCCCAGTGCTCACCATTGTAAACATCGCAGATTCCTGCTTCCAGGCCAAGAGACTTGCTTGTGGTCATTCATCAGGATTTACCTTCCCCAAGGCTCACTCTTTATTGTCGCAACGTTCAAAGTTTTACTCCAAATTTCAACGCAGGTAAATTATCATGGAATCTTCCTTAAAGGGCTTATGACCTCAAAATTCTGGGTTAACTTCCTTTGCTCATGTAGTAGACTTGGAGAAAGCTAGATTAAAAATGAAACATTAATGGGAGTTCCCTGGTGGTCCAGTGGTTAGGACTCGGCTCTTTCACTGCTGTGGCGCGGGTTCAATCCCTGGTCGGGGAGGTGAGATTCCTCAAGCTGCATGGCGTGGCAAAAAAACAAACAAACAAACCCTCACTTAAAGGAGTGATGAATAGTTAGTGGGAAACAGAAAGAAAGTGTTCTTTTTAATTTTTTTTAAAATTTATTTATTTATTTATGTTTGGCTGCATTGGGTCTTCGTTGCTATGCTCGGGCTTTTCTCTGGTTGTGTCGAGCAGGGCTACTCTTCGTTGTGGTGCATGGGCTTCTCATTGCGGTGGCTTCTCTTGTTGCAGAGCACAGGCTTTAGGCACGCGGGCTTCAGTAGTTGTGGCACACGGGCTCAGTAGTTGTGGCTCGCGGGCTCTAGAGCGCAGGCTCAGTAGTTGTGGTGCATGGGCTTAGTTGCTCCATGGCATGTGGGATCTTCCCGGACCAGGGCTCGAACCCGTGTCCCCTGCATTGGCAGGCAGATTCTTAACCACTGTGCCACCAGGGAAGTCCAAGAAAGTATTCTTACTTGTCTTGTAGGAGTTGGTTAAAAGGGGGGAGATTGTATTAGTTTTCTACGGTTACCATAAAAAATGTACTATAGACTGTGGGTTAAACAACAGAAATTTATTTTCTCACAGTTCTAGAGGCTAGAAGTCCAAGATTAAGGTATTGGCAGAGTTGTTTTCTTCTGAGCCCTCTCTTCTTGGCTTGTAGGTGGCCATCTTCTCCTTGTGTCTTAACATTGTCTTCCTTCTGTGTGTGTCTGTGTCCTGATCTCTTCCTACAAGCACACCAGTCATATTGGATTAGGGCCCACCTATATGACCTCATTTTACCTTAATTATCTCTTTAAAAAGCCTATCTCCAAAGATAGTCAAATTCTTTTTTTTTAAACAAAGATTTTAAAAATATTTATTTATTTATTTATTTATTTATTTTGGCTGCGCTGGGTCTTAGTTGTGGCACACAGGATCTTCATTGCAGCACATGGACTTGTTTAGTTGTGGCATGCGGACTCTTGGTTGCGGCATGCATGGGGGATCTAGTTCCCTGACCAGGGATCGAACCTGGGCCCCCTGCATTATGAGCTTGGAGTCTTACCCACTGGACCACAGGAAAGTCCCCAAATACAGTCACATTCTGAGATACTGGGGGTTAGGACTTCAACATAAGAATTTTGGGGAACACAATTCAGCTCATAACAGGGAGTATCTCATCAGCTTCTGTGGGTCTTGAGAAAACTGTGTCCATATATGCTGTTTTTCTTATCTTTTATTTTTAGGTATGAAGTTATTTGTAAGCTCTCGAAGGCAGAAGCAGTGGTTTCCTTTTGAATCTCCTGCAGAGTCTAGGCACCCAGTTAGAGCTTGGTGATGTTGGAAACTAAGGGACGTGTGTCTGTGGAAAACGTAGACTTAAAATTCAAAGGCCCTATTGCCTGGAATCAAAACACTAATGGGGGCCCTTATAGTGGTTTCTTATTCCTCTTTGATTTAAGCAGCGCTTGATGATTTCTGTTAGGCTAAAAGGTAGTATAGGAGAGGGTAGGACTACTTTCTGGTTTTCTGAGACTTGAACGCTGAGAAAATGGTGGCTTCTTGCAGTCAGGGCCTGTCAAAGCAGACTATGACATCATTTGCTTAGCTGCTCATTGAATTCAGAAATATATCTTGGTGGGGCCACTTTGTTGTGTGCTGGGGATATTATGGTAAACAAGATACGGTCTTTACCTCCAAGGGGCTTTCAGCCTAGTTGGGGAGACAAAGAACCATTCAGTGTGATGTGTGTGGTGAGAGGAGTGCCCCTTTGGTATGTGGAAGCACACAGGTAGGGCTCCTAGCCCAGGGCACTGTCTTCTGTACAGATGGCATCTGTGCCTAGACCTGAAAGCAGAGCAGCCTAGTAAAGTGGGGCTTATAGGTGGGTAATGCATGGGAAGAGAGTTCTAGACTATAGCACATGCAAAGGCCTGGAGGCAAGAGGAAATTGTTTACATATCAGGAAAGTAGCTCATTG